GATTCTTTTAAATCAGATATTACGCCAACAATATCATCTGTCAGACTTTTCAAAGGAATGCGAGGTATCTCCACCTCTCTTAAACTAAATCAGTAAAAATTTCATCACTGTCTACAACAAAATAAAGATTTCACTACAATAACATACATAGTAATTGTACATATTTACAACATGTAACTTTCAAGTTTTTCTTTACCTTAGATTACGATTTATAGAATGAAATTGTATAATTTAAGTTCAAAATTTAAATAATAATTTACTGTTTTACTTTATATTTCTGTTTTATTTTTGAATTTATTCATAGAACATATACCATTATTTCTAATAGTATAATATTATTAATTAAAACAATATCTATTATTAAATCATCTTTTTCAATAAAATCTCAATAGAAACATAGCGGTATAAATCTTTTGTATTCTTCATTTTTCAGTGATGATATACTGATTCTGTTTAAGAAAGATTCTAGAAAGAACTAGCGTTAAACTATGCGCGATTTGTGTTATATTATATGGTTCAAAATTTGCAATTCATATAAGATTTGTGAATAGTATGAATGTACAGATCCATCATTACAATTACTATTAATTATTTATGATTTACATGTAAGTCTAATCCTTTGATAAAATCAAAAGAAACGAATCATGAATCGCCCATAGTCTAATGTTAGTCTCAATTCGATAAAATACCTGTTCATATTTCAACAAATCGATACATATTACAAGCATATTCTTTATCTAATTTAATATAGCGTAAAAGAGATATCACTACAAAAAAGCGAGTCCGCCTTACAATATGCTTCCACCAGTTACCCTGTAGGATTTGAAAGCCTATCGATCTATAGTATAGATTGCGAAGTATCTAGCAGTCATTTTCTCTGTATGTTGCGCGCAAATATCACCTATATATACTGATGAAATGTAAAAAAAGCAAAACAAAGACTTGTGATTATGAAAAAAATATGATATCTATTTCAGCAATCAATTGTTCTAATTACATCATTACAGTGACGGATTCAAATTGCATTGGATCATCTTCGGATTGAGGTTCCAAGCTTGGCGGCTGTTGCACCTCCTGTTGTTGCCGTTGTTGAGCGTTCTGTTTCGCGTGCGTTTTTAAGTGCGAGTTCAGCATAGTTTTCGAGGCGAACGACTTATGACAGCACGTGCAGGGATAAGGTCGGTCACCCGTGTGACCCCGTAAATGCACCACCAGTGTAGTTCGTTGGGTAAATCTTTTGTTGCAGTGGACGCACTGATGTGGCTTCTCGCCTGTATGCGTGCGACGATGCACGCTCAGGTAGTTCTGCGAGATAAAGCCCTTGCCGCAAACGTCGCAGACATGAGGTTTTTCACCGGTATGCTTCCGCAGATGCACCGCCAGGTAAGTCTTGCTAGACACAGACTTGCTACATATCGGACAGACGTACTCGTTTTGTGGCTCTACGTTACCATGAGTTTTCATATGCACCAACAACACCTGCTTCCGAGAGAAACGCTTGTTGCACAGCTCGCAGTGGTGCTTCCTTTGCGGCGCCACGTAGTCCGGTTGGTGTAACTTCGCATGCAACCGTAAACCTTGACGATAGCGAAATGTGGCGTTGCATATGTCGCACTGAAACTGCTTCTCCTGCGTGTGCGACAACAGATGCACCTGGCAATTGCTCTTGTTCTGGAATTCTTCGCCACACACCTCGCATTGGTACTTATAATCGGACACGTGACAGTGCTCATGGGCGATCAGGCTTTCCCTGTCCGAGGTCACGTAGTCGCAACTGTCGCAGCTAAAATATTCCTCGGAAACGTGCTCCTTCTGATGCTCGTGCAATTCCGGCGTCGTCATAAAGCTGCAACCGCAATGCTCGCAGACCAACTGCTCGTCCTCCTGCTGCCTTGTCTCTTCCTCCGAATAGGACTCGTGCGTCTCTAGATGCGAATTAAGAGCCTGATCGGAGGTGAAACAATCACCACAAAATTCACATTGCAGAACGCGCTTCTGAACGAGTCTTCTGATATTCGATGGTACCTTCGCGTTCGACTCGGTTAAAAGCTGCCTGTAATCCTGGGTCAGGATGATCTGCGTGATTTTACTGGACCCGCATTGCTGCTGATCCTGAGGCAGCACCGTGAGTTTTGACACAAAATATCTGGAAAGAAGAGAGACACAAACGGGAGTGAATCAGTGCTCATTCCTAACTGCCTGTTTCGTTCTTTATCGTTGCCTTAATCAGGGCCTTACGAGATATTTACGAATTATTTACAGGGACGATCTGCTGGATAACTCGTACTCGATCGTATGGAAGATGGGTAGTGTCAATAAAGCACCTTATTTTGAATTGTATTATTCTCTTTATTATGTAACCGTCTTGCCTTCTACCTTTCCTCAATGCCCTATCACAATGCTTAAACAATGCTTAATTGCGAGCGGACACCGTCGTCTTTTGCTTTGTTTGTTGTACTTGCAGCTTGTTTATGACCTTCTAGCAACACAATATGCGACTACAAAATACTACTTATACTCTATATTCACTTAATACTAATAGGTATGTCGTGTTCGTATATTGTGTTTTTTAATAAAATTGTGGATGGCTTAACAATAATCATATTAATAATCGTATCATTTTTTTTCCCTTTCTTTTGGTGCACTATCTTACTATTTATTGCTTACAATATATACAGAATGTTGCATTACTATCATACGAGGCATAAATTTATATGTATTTAGATCCTGACAAATTTTGAATTTTTTGCTATGGTAAAGTTTAAATGAAAAATAAAATCAATCAGCTCTTCATAATTTTTAATATTAAATATAATGTCAAATATCAATAACATATTAAATTAAAAATTCATGTTAGTTATATTAAAATTATATTAAACATGTTGTACATTACACAGTTTAATATGTCTTAAATCTTAAAGTCTAATTAAGACTTCAAGTGGCTCTTATTGACTTTTATCTGTATCAATTTAAGACTTGTAACTTTCAATTATTTTTATTTAAAAATAATTCATTCATGATTGAAAAAATATCCTAGAATATAAACACTCTGTATAACCTTTGTATGAATGTATTTATGATTTCTCTCAGTATTTTTTGCTATAGATTTATAATCTAATTTATTTAATACTTTAATATATTATATAACTTTATTACAAAATAATTACTTATTTCATAAATTAGAGAGTACAAAATAAATATTTCGTTCTTTTTTTTCTATAGCTAAAGAAAAAGCCAAGAATTTATTAACTTTAATTAATTAATGCAATTAATAAAATATCTCTTGTTATTATTTTATATTATTTTGTCAATATATAAATTATGATTGAATATTAATAATTCAGTCTACATTTCCAAAATTTAAATTAATAATAAATTAACATCGAAAAATGTCGAATATAAGCGATCAACTGTTAAAGAGTAGTGCAAATTCGTTATTTGCCTTTGTGCTTTTTACTGATAATATATATGTTCAATTATAAAAAAATATTAAAAAATTATGTAAAACAATAGAATTATTTAAAACTTTAATATTTCTTTAAACTAATATTTGCTTCTATTTAAATTTTAATACCGAATAAATAAAGTAGTGATAATTTTAAGTATAAAATCTATTTGCGTTTAAAATTTCGGTAAATTAAATAGCTTTAAATATTAATAAAATTGAAAAATTTTTTTTATAAATTTAAGTAAATACGTGCATATAAGTTTTTTGATATAAATAAGTTACATAATCATAATTCATAAAAACAAATAATAAATATTTTATAATAGATTAATGTGCATGTATTTAAATAAAATAAATCGAAATTGTTAGATATTTAACGCATTAAAAAAATTGTGTAAATATTAAATATTGCTATTAGAATATTTTACATGATGTGATGTTTTTACCAAAAATATTGTCAATTTTATATAAATATATCTAAACATATATAAAGTGCACAAATTTGTGAAAAACAATTTAATAAAAATTATATTTAAAAAATATATATTTATGAAATAATATAAGAAATTTAAAGCCGTTACATCATTATTTTATCAATTTATTCTACCTTCGAGTTGCGCATAACTTCCAAGACTAAATCTAAATATTTAAGCGTCTTCATACTTACATGTCACGTTTACATAATTGATATTACACATGCTACCCTGTCTTTCATCTTATGTTAATTAAAGGCACCTGAATTCAGTTAAACATTATGATTGAAATCAATTGCTGCGTTTTATAGAATAGCAATCGGACAATTCAACATAATTAAAAATTTAATGTCAAATGTGAAGTACAAAAATAATTGTTCATTTATTTTCAAATTATTTTTAATTTTATTATTTTTCTTTTATTTTTCTCATAGACAAAACAAAATTTTAAAAATTTAGAATTTTTTTTTCTTTTAGGCACTTTTTTCATATTGATGCGCAGGTACTAACTTCTCTTACTAAAAACTGAATTGCGTCATATCATCTTTCATTTAAAAGGACAGAAAGTTTCGCGCCATTTTCATTAATATTAACATTAGTCTAAATACTTTGTATAATATACAAACAATATCACAGTGATGACAACATTTATGATTACAGCATGTAATTGTTCGCTTATTTTTATTGTAGTTTTGATTTGATCGATCGTTAAATATATTTTATCCGAAACTATATACGAAATTGTATATTATCACGTTTACGTAGACGTATTCATAAAAAAATTAATTTACACATTTTAATTTATTCGATATATTAAATCGACTTATTTATTATAATGCGATAGTAACTTGAGTAATTTTAGGCACTTAGACATCAACACTCTCTACAATTCTCGATTATTATTAATTTCCAATCCCATATTAAATTTCAATTTTTGTTTCATTTAGACTTTTTTTTACTCAGCACAATATCTATGTTTTTGAAAAATTATACATATTGATTATTAAAATGTTTCAATGGATAATGATAAAAATGTCGAATACTTTTAATCTTTTTCTTGAGATTTTTTTTTTTCTTTAATTCTACCGCACAACTTTTAATTAGAAAATTTTTTAGTATTCAGTACTTTTCCTCTAGAATGTTGATGAAATATTAAACTTTGAGATCAAATAAGAATATATATTATCTTTTCTAGAACATTCACGAAACTTGAAATTTAATCGCGCCCGGCCAAGATCCTATCGATCCTATCGATCGATCTTGGTCGGCTCAATGCTTCTTCATGTGATTAAGCATAATCGTTCGCGTGACAAACCCTTTTCCACATAACGTGCAGGTGTACGGACGCTCTCCCGTATGATAACGACGATGTACGGTGAGCGTCGACGCCTGCGTGAACGATTTGCCACACATAGCGCAGAGATACGGCCTCTCGCCGGTGTGGATGCGTTGATGCACCACGTAATATTTGCGATGCGTGAAGCCCTTGCCGCACACGTCACAGACCAACGGTCGCGACCTGTGGACCGCCTTGTGCGTGGTCAACGATTCGGCGGTCGTAAATTGCTTAGAGCACGAGTCGCAGGGATAAGAAGGCATGGACTTTGCGGGACCACCGCTGGTGCCGGTGGTGCCGCCGCCGCCGCCGCCGCTGCCGCTGCCGCCGATTACGCCAAGATTGCCGGTCACCATCGGATCGACGGACGACGGCATCGCGTTGGTACCAGCGACTATCCGATTGTCGTTACTCGTCGGCGTTACTCTGTGGGTTTTCGCGTGATGATTATACAAGTTGCGCGTCTCGAAGCGCATCAGGCACCTCGAGCAGGAATAGGGTTTCTCCTGGCCGACCTCCTGGTGCATTCTCCGGTGACGTTCCAGTAGCGTGCGATACCGAAAGCTAGCCTGGCAGAGATCGCAGGCGAACGTTTTCTCCACGTTGCCGACGGGCGACGCGAGACTGGTGGAGGTCGAGGCGCACGTCGGCACGGACGCGGAGTGCGTGACCTCGTGCATCCTCAGGTGGTTCAGAGCAATGAAAGTACACGAGCAGATCGCGCACGAGTACCTCGGCTGATTCTCGATACCGTGCTCGTACTCCGGCCGCGCGGCGTGACTGGTTCGCATGTGGTAGTTTAGCTTAAGGGCGCTTCGAAATTCCAGCCCGCACGTGGGACACGGATAGGACTCGGGAAAGATCTGCATCTGATCGAGCAGAGACTGTTCCGGGCATACGGACTGAAAATGCGGGGGGAGCAACGTCGACGATAGCATCGACGATTGATTCGAGAATATCGAGTTGGTCTGTAGGAGATTACAATTGACGGACATGCCGGCCTCCCCGATCTCGGGCGAGGGCGAGAGAATCTGGCGCAGCATCCCCGACAAGCCGCCGAAGGTCTCGCCTCCTTCCCTGAAATTGACAAAACCCAAGGACATTGCAACGGAGAACGACCCGTGGGCACACACAGCTTTTGTCTTTTGAGTCTGCTTTTTGTGATTATTACAAATATATCTTGCATACAGGCAGTGATGAGAGAAAAAGAAAGAGAGGAAGAGAGAGAGAGAGAGATAGTCGAAAAAAGATAGAGATCTTATGCTTATGTGAGTGCTGCAAGGTGGCCGGTGCAAGGTGCTTGGGCATTGCTGGCATCCCTCTCGAAACACAGCAATAATAACGTGTTAACAAGAGCGCACGTGCGAATCGAAAAAGTCGTCGTGATTGTCGTCAAGTCAAACAACTTTGGAAGTTTCATTATCATCCGTTACGTGAAACAATATCCATCAAGCTTTCCGAATTCATAAATCTTATAGAGTATTTAAATACTATTCGACGAATAAGATAGAATACGATATAAAATTGACCTATTAATTACGATTAATTACGGAATTATCTTGTAAAACTTAGTTCTTTATCCTTACAATTGTTAATAATTACTATCGTTTAAATTATAATTAAAAATATATATACATAAAAACTGGATATATTAGATATCTCCTAATATACGATACAGCAGAAGGGAAAAATAAAGATCAAGCCATAAAACTTGGCAAAAGAGTTTGAGAAAAGCAAATTTTTACTCAAAAGATCACTAATGACTTGGAATAGAACATGTTAAAACTCAAATTAAATCACAGGTATAGAAAAATCTCACCTTCATAAATAATCCATGATAAGGCATCTTCTTCTCATTTGCAGTAAAACGGAGCATGATTTTTCACGCACGTGTTCATATTCAACACATTTCAACATTTAACGTACCGTAAGTACGTAATATGCAGATCAAAATAAAAATGCAGAATTGCAATAAGAATAGCAGAGGAAAAAATCAAATTTATTATTCAGTCCTTCAGAATGAAAAGTGACAATCTATGAAAACTTGATGCGAGAGCGTAAAAAACTCCTTTTACAAACTTTCATACATCAAATATCCATAGATATATATTCAGAATTGAATAATATAATTTTTTCCTTTACAAAAAGCATTTCAAAAATTCATATATGATAATAAAATGACATACGCGAAAATTACGCATATGTCAATGCTGCAGCCAATTTGAGGCGCAATAAACGCGTAACAATTCCAATATAAATTTCATTTCGAATGTAAAAGCCGGCGCAGTTATTAAACCTGGCTCATTCGCTAAAATAAATTATTCCTCGCGACACAGTTTTCGTATTTATGGAAGCGCGCAAAATGGTACGCGCAATCCAAACGACATGCGTGACAGACTATAACACGTAATGCCTCGGGATTTGCAAAAGAATCGTGTTAGACACCAAAATTGGTCTAAAGATAATGTCGCAGATAATGTTGCAAATTCGCACCGACATTATTCATACGAATCGGCGATATTTCACTTTTGCATATAACACGAGAGATAGAGTCTACGAGTAAAAATAGAATATAGAATGTAGAAAAGATGATACTCGCCTTTGTGTTTACATGCGAAAAATCCTCTTGACTCGGCAGTCTCATAATGTGGACGGTATTTTTCTTTCATTTCACAGAAATCTTCAAATTGGAAGAAATACGATCCTTCATCTTCTTCAATATCGACGTTATTAACAATTGTTAACCGATTTCTCGGTTATATAACACTACGCAATTTATTGTATCATCCGGAGAATCTTACCGGATACGCAAAATTTTTACTAATGATCTCATGGGAGATACATACGTATCTTTTTACGTCAATTAAAAGATAGTTCTTAAGATTAGTCGCAACATTAATATAGTAAATACAGTGTCCTGGCAATCGCAAAGCGCAGGCGTCGGAAAGCACGAAGATCATAAACCAGAAAATGGTAGATATATGTTGCATCATTTGAAATATCTATCGTCTGTGATTTTTGAATCGGCCGAATATCGGTCATGTGCGGCATTTAGTGCCATCACGTAAGCGTGGGAATATTAATATCGACAACACGTAAACATTTTGTTTCTGAATGGACAGAGAGATCAGGCTGGTTTCTTTCAGGCATCGTTATTGCTAGGCAATAAATCAATTTCTTTTTCTTTTACATCACGTATGTGGATAATCCAGAGAAATCCCTCTATCCATTTTATTGCACATATAAATATAAATAATATCTAACATAAAATTCATTTCGATTTACGATATAAAATTGATATCAAATATATATTAATCAAATATATTAATTTTACGAAAGATATCAGACATCAGAAAATTAATGCCAAGACCGTGTTTCATCAAAATGAACTCTATGTACATGCTATTACATGTAAAAGTAACGAGGTGCTTAGCAATTTGCATTTTAAATTGAACAATAGCGTAATATGTCTCTTTTGTAGAAATGAATTATAAAACCATTTAAAAATAATGCAAATATAATTTATTATATAAGATATAATTACATAAATTGCTAAACACCTAGGGCCAAAGATGGTTGTGGAGTGTGTTCTAACTTACCTTGTGTTTACCTGCGTTTTACATTCAAAAAATCAAAACTCATATGTAGCGATTCTCTATTTCATATTTTTATTTCTATCTGTAAATTCAATCATTATTTTCTTCCAGATTTATTTTTACATTTGTATAAATATGCCGAACGAATAAGAGTCTTTTAAAGCAGAACACTATATTCTCAGATATCAGATATCGATTTCTTCAGAAATAAACATATTATAATGCAATTAATAACTTATGTTTGCATCATTTAAACTTTCTCAAAGTAATTTGTTATTGCACAATACGTTATTAAAATTTATTCCATTCATAAGCATCGCTGATTTCATTCAAGATTAAGCAATTTCATTCATCTTGAAACTCAAGTTTATGGGATGATAAGATCAGATAAAATCAATCCGATTGTTCACGTGTGATTGTTTCTGTTTGCCACAACAAATGACACCTTTGGCCCTCGAACAGTAAAAAGTAAGAATAGAAAACTCACCCAGTTTTTGGATCCACATCCGCTGCTTGAGGCATTACCATCTCGGGCATATCGGCAATTTTCTGCTGTTGAAGTCCGGATGGGCCAGCTTCATCACATGCCAGGGAAACATTAACAAACGTTGTAGGCTCAATAGTTCTACTATTATTAGGATCTTCTTCACTTTCTTCTTTAATAGGTAGGCCTTTAACAGAATAGCAAGTTTTCTCGTTTTTTCACTATACTTTTTTAAGCTACTGGCCTAATAATTAAATATTCAATTTCAAACAAATATTCAAGGGTGTGATATATAGCGCAAATATGTACCTTCATCTCCATCGCATTCATCATCCGAGTTTTCCTCTTCTTCACTGCTTTCCTCTTCCTCTTCTTGTTGCGTAGGCGCCTCTGTTTGATTCTGCGTAATTTGGTCATGTGTCGTTTGTTGTGTGCTTGGTCCAGCTACTGATTGGACATTTTGTACAGAGCTACCACTGTTGTCCATAGGAACTGAGGTTATTTGTTGCTGAGTATTGCTCGGCATCATCATGGGCATACTCAGGCCCATGTTGTCCATCATACCCATATTCATATTGTTCTGATGTTCGCTTATTTGTTGCATCACAGTACCATCTAACCTGTTCTCGTTGCTCTGTTCTGGCTTCATTCCATTCTAAAATTTAACAGAAAACAAAAATGTAAATAAAATTTTTACATTTTTCAAGAATTGAAAGATTTTAATAAATTAAAAATATAAAAATTTTAAATATTTTGTTTTCTAATCAAAATAATCTTTATCCTTTAAATTATTAATTATGTCACATATTTGATATAAGATTTATACTTTATAGTTTATATAAAACCAAATTTATTAAATAATGCAAATAAAAAAATTAAATTAGAAAATATTAAATATTTGAAATAACTTACAACAGAACGAATAATATGCAAAATATTCTGATTACTAGCTATTCTCATTGCTAAGGTAAACATAGACAAAAGAAAAAACAAACAATTGATAATCTGCAAGTTATATAATTTTAAAGACATTTTCAAAACTGTACAGGGTGTACATTAATTTTTTTTACACGATTGAGAAAAAGAAATAGGTAATAAAGTAGAAAATAATAATTACCGGATTGAGCACATTGTAACCCTGTTTGTCTTCCATGTTTACTTCTCCCAGCCATTGCAGCAATTGTTTTTCGGCGTTTGCTGTCGTATGCCAAAATTGATAACATAATTCTATTTTATACACACAGTCATCGCATATCTTTTTAGGTAATTTGTCTTCCTTGTTCACCTATAACCATAAAAAAAAATTCATAAGTCTCTGAAGACTTCATCACTCATATAACAAATCTTAAAATTTATCTATATTATTACAATATATTAAAATTACTCCCGTGTGAGTGATCAGTAAAATTTATGAATGAATATTAGTCTTAATAATCTCGAATAGAATCGTTGCGCCACAAAAATCATCGTTCGGCGAAGCAAGAGGAACGCAAGAGACGCCATTAAATCGTCCGTGACGAGTGAGAAGGCAACGACCAATGCACGCGTGATAGCGTTTATTTATTTTAGAATCTGAACGCGGAACTGCGGCTTAATTCGCATGAATCGTGCGATCCCGTATACATCGACGTGAGAGATCTACAAATAAAACGCGAAGATATCGATCCGAGACGCTCGGCAAGTTACGCGCTTCGTGAGAGTGGACAATAATGTCGGCGGCAAGATGTCGAAAAACATTAGTGGCCGAGGCCAATTTCGGCAGAGCGTGCAAAATGCAAACGAGCGATTCCGTCGGGTGCCGTTCCTCATGCGGAACGGAAACAACGTTATCGGGTTGCGACGCGATCGAGTCAAGGCATATTCTTATTGAACGGCAACAAGCGTGCATAGGAATAAAAAAAAAAAAGCGCGGCAAAAGTCCATCGGGCAATTAGTGGCATCACAAAGGCCAGATGAGGGACGAGATTGGAATGGTACACGCCGCGCGACAAGCGGCGTCGTATCGTACCACTTCGATACACCTCGTAGCCTTCTCTTCAGGTCTACAGAGCGATTCAGAATACGCTCGAGGTGCGACGAGACTCTCCCGAGGAATGTCTCGTCCACGAGACGACCCGTGAGGAAGCACGCAAGATGGCGGATCGTCGTGGCCGCCTCGGTCGGACCGCGAATGGCGTAGTTAGCTTCTTACCTTGACCGGCAAACAGGCGGTGATCTTGAGGAAGATCTGCCGCGCGTCTCCCTCGCCCTCGAAAATCGGCACGGAGACGCGATCCTTCACGAGACACAGCCGGCACAGATCCAGGTAGTCGAGGGAGGACATTCTACCGCGTGAAACGCCAGCTTCGAGACGCAAAGCCGCGCCCGTCGAGCGCGTAGGTACGCCGTTCCCTGCGAATTCGAAGAGAGGCCCCGCGTCGTTTCACTACGCGTCGATTCCTAATCGTGGTTCGGCCGTGTCCGGCGCGTCCCGGCCGTCCTCGGCGTGGCTCGGCCGGCGTCGGCGCACCTCGGCCGCCGTCGACGCGCCTCGGCGATCCCCGTGACGGCTCGGCAGTCGCGTTCGCGTATCGATCGGCTCGGACCGAAGCCAACCGCCTTCACACACGACAGTCCCGGACGGCGCGAAGGTTCTCATCGATCGATGCGAGAGAACGGATTTCTCTCGAAAATCGAATGTTTGGCTCCAGAAACTCACTCCGCTTGTCTCCTCTCGTTCTTTTTCTCTCTCTTTCCTTTCCTTTCAATTATTATATATTCGAAGTCTTGAACGGGACCGCGTGATTCGAGTCATTTCGAATCGCGATTCGGGCAAAATAATGGAATTTATTTTATTCACGATCGAATTGGAAACGCACATGATTGCGTAGCGATATAAGGAAGAGTCACATTCGGATAGATATTTGCTCCGTAAATTTAGCTTTGGATTCGCGACGCCGATTGATTGATCGAGCACTAAGAAAGGTCGCCGGAGTACATGCTATGAAGTTTTCATGCTCAATTACTCCCACTTTAGTCAGATGTTCAACGACGCATGATCAAACCGTCTATCAGCAAACAACGAAGAGAATAGCAGAGAAAATGTTGATGTATATTCATTGATTCGTACTCTGCTCTTTGTCTCCGTTGCGTGACGCACGAATTATGCATAAATTGAATTTGCTCGTGCAATGTTTTACGAGAACAATTGCTACTTAATTAATTGACGTTAAATTATGAAGAAATCGCAAATAAGAAGCCGAAATAAATTTGGATCAAACGTCGCGTCTTTTAAATGCGACAAATATGATCAATTTATTCGCGCTCGAAAAAAATCGAGGAATATAATTAAATAAGGAGAATTGCAAATTTACATAAAAAATATGTTTTTCCTTTAACATTTTTCAGTAAAAAGGAAGCCTTCGTCTAAAATATTTTACAGTCTTCCGAATTGAAATTTACGATACGATACTGCATGAAATAAAAGTAAAAGGGATCACAAGGGAAGAAGAAGGGACGCAGTGTCACGTCTCTTTGTGTCGTTACGGTTTAAGGTGCTTTCACACAAAATGAAGCCGTATTAAAATCGAATTTTCCTTCGACGTAAAAAAATTGATAAATAAAACTAGAATTAATTGTCATATAAAAAAGTTTAATCATCAATAAATTATCCGGCGTCTGATTGGAACGTAAAAGTCGCTCGATTATGCGATATGAAACCGGCTTTATTCTGACGTCATAAAAGATATCAATGACCTCTCGTGTCCTTCCCTGTACGCTGCATTGGCTGTGCTTTACTTCGATGATACTTGAAAGCAAAATGAATTTGTTCTTCATGAAAAAAATGTTTTTATCATTTATGTTGGCTTTGATTCTTAATATAATTAATTACATTTCATTTAACCGATGTTCAAAAAGTCATATACATATTTGTGTTTGTATATAATGATTTTTTAAATATTAAAGTAAACAATGTAAATAAATTATAAATTTTTAGAGATAGTAAATATTTAGTACATAAATTTTAATATTTTATTCCTAAGAATAACGTGCATATACATATATAAATTATTGTTGTATGTTTCTATGAGCAGATAAAAATTCTTATAGATTTTTTTATACAGTTTTTTAAAATGTAAATTTCTGTCTCGATTTACGACGTAATTTACACTGTGGAATTAATGTGGAAAAACGATTGCTGTCGTTTACGAATTGAATTTGGGAGAAGAAAATACTGCGGCAGAGTAGATAAAAAAAACTGCTTTATTGTGGCAGAGCACATGTATCATTATATACCAGCATATAATAGGAAGTCCATAATAATTTACAAATTACGATCCACTTAAATGTCGTTACACATGGCGGTGTGTGCAGGCAGGGGATTTGAGAACCGATTCCGATCACTCCCACGCGTCTTATCTCGAATCATTTTCGCCCACTTTGGTTTGTATTTCTCCTTGAAACTTTTCAATGTCAATTGTTAATCGATTGTAAGTGGCTTTCCGAAGGCCCTTGAAGGGTACGCTATGTATAATACATGAAAACAAGAGATATGTGTGTGTGTGTGTGTGTGTAAGTCATCCTTCTTACGGTTTCATTTTTCCATCGAAATCGTTAGCCGTTCGTTAATCGAGGAACATTGCGCAAACCTTGTTCTGCATCTTACAATATTGCTATTAATATCGCGAACAATAATTTTCATATGTATCGAAGACACATTGAAAGTCAGCTGTTTTTTTTTTTTTTTTTTTTCTATGAGAGAGAAGTCGACATAAAAGAGATTAGTCGACACTTTCCTCTCTGCCGACGAAACGTACGTCTTATCCTAAAAAAGTATTCTGTTTTTTTGAAAGAGATAGCCGATCGATCGAACCAACCTATTTGTTGGACAAGTCCATCAAACAAAATTCATTAGACGCAATCTTTGGCACGATGAAATTGTTTTTTAAGTTCCATTGTTATCGGAAGATGCAGCCAATAAAATCGCCGTAAGTGGAATAAGAGAAGTGTAAATTGTCACAAATTTTGAAGATACAATAATCCGGATACACATCTGCGTACTTACTTTTTACAATCTTCTTATTCTTTTTTTTTTTCTTTCTTTCTTTCCCGCGATTTGAAAAACCGCGCGATCAGTAAAACGATTAAGACGAAATTGCATTACTTCGATGCTCGTAATTTGATTGATTAATCGATTAATTAATTTGTCAAATTCATAACTATGTACTTACACTTTACCCTATAACAATAATAGCAAAATTGCGTGAATTTTTTAATCCCCCTTTTTTTATTCTCGTTTTAAATTCCGTATCCTCTCCGGTTACTTCGTAATGTAAATTTACAGCTATTACAAGTATTATTGTTTATATTTGTGTAACATCATAATAGCAGACTCTCCCTCGTGCCCGACTCACCTACCTAATACAAAGTTAAAAACGCACGAGGTTCACATCATCCCTTAAATCCGCGTGTGTACACGCGTGCACACGTGTGTGCGCAGAGCACATGGTGGACTTGCGTCTGGCACTTTGCCTGTACCGTTGTTCCTCTCTGAATTTTCCGGGAGGCCCGAATTAAAAGAACGCGTCAAAGATGGCGTCCGGATGGCGTTGACCTCGAAAACCTCTCGCGAATACACCGCCAATAAAATTACGTACATTTTATCACGACGCGAGGGTGACAAGTTATTATATCGAGTACACTCCGACTCGTGAATGAAATGACTAGATATAGCGCTTCGACAATTTCTTTGTATTCTTTTTTTCTTTTTTTTTTTTTTTTTTGTATTTAGCCTATCGACTTTGCACGACTTTGCGTTCTTTTAACTTCGGGCATCCTAGAATTTGGAAGGCCGCTGATGTATCGTTTCGAAAAAAAATTTGTTCAAACCAATTTCTAAGTTAAGGGACCGTAGTCTACCTAATAGAACCGGTCGAGTAAGCGTCATGTCCAAACCGAACGTTCTTGCATTTGTTTACGAGAAACGAGAGAGTGTCCCGAACGCGCTTGTTCCACGTGCGGTCGATCCTGTTACGATTACACGTGCGGCAGGGATCGCGCGTGATGCCGCCGCATCCTTGAAATTCGAAACATTGGTCATTGGCAAAGGATGCGCAATATGCAAGAAGTTCTCAGACACACTCGCGTCTTATCACGTTCTAATTAATCAGACTATAGCCTGAGAAAAAAAAAAAAAAAAAATGATCTTATATCGTCGACTCGTTGGGATTAACTAAGCTAGCGTTGGTCGTAAAATCGTTGATAGTTTTAGCATATCTAGGTACATCTCGCGCTCTGATACGCCGACCGATGGGGCTCTTGGCTTTAGGTAGGCTTGAAAACGGCAAAACATCAAGTGTGGAAAAGGCTTGGAAGTGAACGTAATCTTATAGCAATTTTCAAACGAAGCGTATGTCTCACTCTATATCGTACAGTTGCCTCGTACGTAAGAAGTGTCACGTATGCTTCGATCTACTTCGACAACGTTCCCCGCCACCATTCGATTCTTTTTTCTCTTTTTTCTTAATTTTAACCTTTAACGTGCCATTTGTCGTTCGGGACGTTAGTGGTAAAGTGGTAATTGTACTTTTCTAAGGATTATGCTACAGATGGAAATCGTAAAAGTGGATAAGCCTGGGGAATAATTACATTAAATATCGGATAAAATTTAATGGTGTGCCGAAGATTGTCAAATTAGATGCGAAGCAAAGCGTCCCAAGACTTAGAA